ACCTACACCTAATAAAATGAGGCATTGGGAGCCCTTTTGAAGATACCATGCAAGACACAAAACCCCTTTTGTGTCTCACTTCTCTCTTTTCTTTTTTTTATTTTTATTATGCTTTTAATTATTGTCTTTAATTTCTAGTTTAGTATTGTATTTCCTTGTACTTGTAATTTAGTTTTATATTAATGCAATTTATATTTCAGTATTATTTAATGTCTTACATTACTTTTATTATGTCTAACTAAATTACTCGTATGAGTGTGCATGTGAATTTAACTTAGAATGTTTATATAATATTTGGGTGTTTTTATCTTTTATCATTTCGTAACTTGGTCACTTAAAACGGGATTTAAACTCGACGCCGATAAGCCAATCACTTTGAAGTGTTAATATTAGATCTTAGACCTAGAGATGGGCGGATTTGAAATACGGCTTAAGTGATGCACAAAGAACTCGAAAGAGTCTTTGATAATTACGTGGAGACGCGAATTTTGTATGTATCTAGCTAAGGGTTAAGCAATAAATATTCTTATCATAAAGAGATTTGGGTAAGAATCGCATTCTTTTTATTTTTTTAGCTAGATCGGCAAGTCTCGAAGTGGTAAACATAAAAATCTTATGAAATTTCATAAGACCCGGTTATAAAAGTTCACTTTCGAAAGATTGGAGTTTTTATAAACAACTCATAAAAGTCTAACCATTTTATTGTTAATTTTATCTTAAACAACACTTGCACTCATGCCCATTATTTAATATTAAAAGTTTATTTCGTTATTTCGCTAGTTGGTCCTCTTTCGGTCTTTTTTATAAACAAAAATCCAACTTTTATTTACAACTCAAAACTCGTGCAAAAAGTTCACAAAAAATCTCTGAATCTCAATAGTCCCTTCCCTGTGGAACGATCTCGATATTTTTTTACCAATTTATTACTTGCAAGCAATCATAGTGTCAGCATGCACTTGCACCGCCATTGTGGAGACTTAGTGCCCACTGGGTGAACACGAATGATCCTAGCCTATCAAAAAAAAAAAATATATATATATCATCATCACAAAACACTACTTTCGAGTGGAATACTCATTGAATAATTAGACAATTCTCAAACCAAGCCACCCTTTGAGTCATGAACTACGGACCTTCATAAAAGAAATTATGTTATTGAAAATGCATTGTATCGGAATAACCCAAACCAAACCAAGATAACTCAACCATCCTTTCGAAAAGAAATTCTCTTTGAAGAAAAATGATCATTTCCCAACCATGGACAACAAATTTGACCCAATGCAAGTATTTCAGTTTTGCATAAATGCAACAGGATGTTCCCTATAATGCAACCACTGGTGAAAGCTCAAAGAAAAATACCCATGTGTAAGAAAGCTTCAACTTAAGTTGATTTCGACAACCTAGAATGGAATGGTCTTAAAAGATGCATATAAACAAAAGCTATTCTATCGGACAGATATTAACCACGATTTTTGCACAATAACTAACCATCCAAACCAAACTTATTTACTCAATCATTGGATGCATGGGGGTTGACATCCAAACCATGTTCTTTTAAGCTCAAAGATGACATGGAGCTTCTTGTTTTCAGGTCACCACTTTCCGACAAATGCTGTTCCTGCTGATGATGGTGAAGTTGCTGCTGCTGCTGCTGCTGCTGCTGATGGTGGTGGAGTTGCTGCTGCTGAAGTTGCTGGATCTGTTGCTGCTGAAACTGTTGTTGCTGCTTATGGGACTGTATCTGGAGTTGTTGAAACTGTTGTGCAGTTAACATTGTGTGGACGGCTTGGTTGTTGGGGTAAAACTGCTGGTTTGATCCAAAAGACGGAGGGAAGTTCATCATTGTTCCACCGTTCACAAGGTTCTGACCTGTAAGGGCTTTCAGATGCTGGATCTCCTCCTTCAGTGCATCGTTTAAAGCTACATGCAGCCAATAGCAGAAGCATGTTTCAGTACTCTAATAATAAAATTAGTATGAACAACTGATTCTTGGAGAAACAACCAAATGCCAACAAAACCGAGCATATTCCCATGCAGTATCATCAGATGGTCTAGGCATAAACCTCGACATTCTCCACACATCAACGAACAAATAAATCTACAATCTTTGCAATCAGTTTAAGAGTTGTCTTAACTTTTAGCTTCACATGGCAAAAATCTGCAATAAATTTTGAATTAACATAAAAAAACTGGTTCCATATTTTTAGGGTTCAGGTCTAGATATCTCTAAAACCACCCAACAATATTTTCTATGTACAATCCCCAACCAAACGCAACAGGTGAGGAAACAAACCATTTTGACCGAGCATCTTGATCTCATGATGGCCAGTAAAAGAAGCAGAATGCATCAGTAGAACTAGTGGTCCGTGAAGACTAACATTTCTTTTCCCTTTTTTCCTTGGAATTTATGAATCAGATAGATAGTTTATATGGGACTACCTTCAAACACGCTAATGTATCAAGTCAACAATTGATAACACTCATGGTGATGCAATCTGGCCATTCCACACATATCCACGTGTTTTAACACCTACACCCCTCGAAATGTATGATAGACATGATTGTAATACAGTTGTAAGTGCTGTGTGTGACAGTTGGGTTAAGCTAGCCTTTGATTAGCATATTGTGGTTTACTTTTTAATGTCATTATACTGAAATAATGCACATAGATGAACAATATAGACATACAGGATGTGATGATGCACATATTTTGGATGTACATGTGGACTTTACTCTGAATATTTTGTAGACACCATGACTTATTAGCTCCAGAATCAAATAATATTTTGGCAGGCTTTTAATCAATTTGGAAGGTACTTGTTACCATGTCCGATATTTCTTTCGTTTCCTCAGCAGTGAGTTGGAATATCCTTCCTCTGACTTTTCCAGCTTCTCGTTTGTTTCTATTAATGATTGCTATAGCTTTTTGCACATTCTTGGGCTTTGGGCAGTTGTACACAAGATGTCCGGTTGAACCACAATTGTAACAAGTTTTCCTTTCAGGACAATTGCTAGCCATATGACCAGGTTGGCCACATTTATAGCATACCTTGCTGCCCATCATACATTCTCCACTATGGTTCTTATTGCACTTGTGACAAATTGGTTTATCAATTGTCCGTGGACCAATATTCCTTGCTTTCTTGGATGTTCTGCCAAAGTTTTTGTCTTCAAACTTCCTTTTTTCGTTTGGTTGGTAGCCATTGGGCATATAACTATCTTTTTCAGCTAAAATTGCCAAATCTACAGCTTCTTGGAAAGTCTTTGGTTGAGACATATTGACCAATTGTTGCAAGTCCTTTCTTAAACCATGTATGAAACGATCTATGTTACGACCTTCTGTTATTATCATAGTAGTTGCAAATTGAGACTATTCTATAAATACTTCTACATATTCTTCCACATATCTATTTCCTTGCTCAAGTTTTATAAATTCTTCCTCCATCATTTTCACTCGGGTATTTGGGAAATACCTTTGATTGACTAGATGTTTGAATTCGTCCCATGACATCGTTGTTGCTCCCGTAATACCTTGGGTAGCGTGAATGGTTTTCCACCAATGGAGTGCATTCAATTTTAACTTGGTGGAAGCAAACCTTACTCGTTGATTAGGGGCACATTGACATGTTTCAAAACAATTTTCCATGTCATCAAGCCAATTTATCGCAGCTATGGGTCCTCCCTTGCCTTCAAATATAGGACTAGTAGTTTTGAATGCTTTGTAATCGCATCCTCGAGTTTGACCATATCAGGTTCATGTCTTATTTGATTTTCTCCGGTTGTTGCTCCATGTACTGAGCTTCGATTCATAGCTGCCTGAACTTGAGCTATTATAGCTAGTAGACTCCTGGATGCTTCGAGAGATTTTTGTTGCTATATCAATTCTTTCAGTAGGATTGACTGAATTTGTTGGCCTATCCCCTTGTGGGTTTGCTTCACGTCTACTTCCTTGTCTTGGTGATCTAGTATTCTCTGAATTGTTTCTATTTGTCCTTCGCGTATTCATTCTACAAAATAATATCGTAAGAATATAAAGATAAAATTCGATTTCATGTCATATATCGTACAAAATTGGAACATTTGATACAAAACTTGAGGATATGATAAACTTTTCCTCCTCTTTTTCGCTCCTATATATGTGTATTTGCATACATACATATATATATATATATATATATATATATATATTCTATCTGAAAATTATAAGGGGCATGATGGGTTCTTAAGAAGTCTCTAAATTGCCATGCTGGTTGGAGATCGAGGGTATCTTTTGCTAGGTGATGACATTTCTTAATCCATAGCTTAGCCCTCTTTGTCATGTGTGTTGCTTTATAGTTCCAAAAGCAGATCATATCCTTGATCCTTGCTATGATGGATCTTTTGGCAATCTTTATCTCTTGTCCATAGATTCTGCATCTAAGATCGAGTTCCCAATTTCTATTATCTAATTCGACTGCTTGATCCCGAACCCGTTCGTATTCTTCAATACTTATTGGTACCAAAATTAAATTTTCAATTTCTTCGTCGACCGGTACGTCCTCCTCTTGATACACATAATTAATTTGATCTTCTATGATAGTTTCATCATCAGATATGCAGTTATCCATATCATAGGCTGCCATAATAATAAAAACATATATCTTTTATATATATTCTTGGGATGATGATTTTACAAAATTAAAGGAAATAAGATATGAAACTTTTCCCTTTTTCACATCCCCATTCATCGATTCTAATTAATTAGTTGCTTCGCTCTTATATTATCTATTATTATTTTATCATAGTGGATTTTCAGTCACTTCTATGTCTCCTTTGGGTAGGGAGTCTATAGTCGCTGGCAAAGGAGTTCCTAATAACATGGTTGGCATAAGCCAATTCTTCTTGTAATCGGACAATTGGGCCTCGGTTTGATTTAGGAGTTGGAGAGCTCTTCCATTTCTTTCCTTGATTCCTTTAATTCATCATCGACAATTATAGTGTACAACCGGATCCTATGTGCTTCCTCTTGTGCCATTGCACACTGATGGTTGCTCTCAGTTAATGCAACTTCTAGTATAGCTTCTGAGGGAGCTTGGTTTTAAAAAGCGCGATGCGGTCCGATGCGTTAAGGGTCCCGGAAGCCGATGCGTGATGCGTGATGCTGATGCGCTCGCATCACGCACGTGATGCGCCCGGTATTCAAAAAATAWTTATAAATTAATTCTACATATCAATTTCTACCTTAAAAATACTTACCTATCAAAATACTTCATTTATAACATAAAGTAGTTAAAAAAAGTAGCATTAGAATCTTAAAAAGTTCGTGAATCAGAATAACAGAAGTACGTAACACACAAACTACTACCATGAAGAACACAATTACACAAGTAAATGTCTAATAGTCTCAATCCCTAAACTAAATGACCAACCAAGTAACCAACTAATACTCCCCAAGATCAGCATCATCAAACCCCAACACGGGTTCATCTCCCTCATCATTATCAAATCCTCCAATATCTGCTTCCACTTCAACTTCATCATCTTCATCCTGAAGAGCATGTTCTTTTCCTCTAGCACTTCTAGCTCTTGATGGACCCGACCCATCATCGTTTACTCTCCGGCTCCCTCTTGATGCTCTAGTGAGATGAGGAGTCTCATACGCCCCGGAAGCTCTACCTACGTCATCCCACGTTAGATCATCATCAATAAATACCAAATCATCATCTTCATCATCATTGTCCATCCTCCCCATCAACCACTCATTACTTTCATCTATGTCTTCTAGGATGATAGGATCACTACTTCCCTCCTTCTTATATCTACGTTGCAAGGCACGATTGAATTTCACATAGACCATGTCATTCAATCTTTCTTGTGCTAATCTATTCCGCTTCTTGGTGTGAAGCTGTCAAAAGTTTAATTGGATATTAGTTGATAACTTGATATATTTAAAATCATATACGAATTTATAATGTCATGTACGACACTTACATGTTGAAACACACCCCAATTTCTCTCGCAACTTGTAGCACTACAAGTAAGACTAAGAACTCGTATAGCAAACTTTTGCAAGTTGGGAGATGAAGATCCAAATGTTGTCCACCACTCCGCTATAAGGAACAAATATAAAAAAAGTAAAATATCCATAGTGTGTAAGTAACTAACTATAAAAATGTATTTTCAATTTAAGATGATTACCTGGTGCCATTGCCTTCCTTTGCCTAATAGCCGCATTTCTACCAAATAGTCCTTCCGCATTTTGATACTTGCCTAATTCTCTTAAGATTAGGTCTTCTACTTGA